GAGGGGGGTCCCAGGGGGGAATTGGGGGGGTCCAGAGGGAAACTGGGGGAGTCTCAAGGGCAATTTTGGGTGGTCCCAAGGGGAATTTGGGGGTCGCAGAGGGAATTTGGGGGGTCATGGGGGGTCCCGTGCGCCCCCAGGCAGGCCCAGGGCCTCTCCACCCCCGTGACCAGCGCGGCGCGAATGGAGAGCAACAGGCACGTGCTGTACATCCTCAGGGACACCCGGTGAGACCCCAAAACATCCCCAAAACATCCCCAAAACGTCCCCAAAATGTCCTTAAAACATCCCCAAAATATCCCCAAAATGTCCTCAAAATAGCCCCAGAAACATCCTCAAAATAGCCCCAAAAATCACCCCAAAACAGCCCCAAAATATCCCCTAAATGTCCTTAAAACATCCCCAAAATATCCCCTAAATGTCCTTAAAACATCCCCAAAATATCCCCTAAATGTCCTTAAAACATCCCCAAAATATCCCCTAAATGTCCTTAAAACATCCCCAAAATATCCCCAAAATGTCCTCAAAATAGCCCCAAAACAGCCCCAAAAATCACCCCCAAACAGCCCCCGACAGGCACGTGCTGTACATCCTCAGGGACACCCAGTGAGACCCCAAAACATCCCCAAAATGTCCTTAAGACATCCCCAAAATATCCCCAAAATATCCTCAAAATAGCCCCAGAAACATCCTCAAAATAGCCCCAAAAATCACCCCCAAACAGCCCCCGACAGGCACGTGCTGTACATCCTCAGGGACACCCGGTGGGACCCCAACATCCCCCCAAAAATATCCCCAAAACATCCCCAAAATGTCCTTAAGACATCCCCAAAATATCCCCAAAATATCCTCAAAATAGCCCCAGAAACATCCTCAAAATAGCCCCAAAAATCACCCCCAAACAGCCCCCGACAGGCACGTGCTGTACATCCTCAGGGACACCCGGTGGGACCCCAACATCCCCCCAAAAATATCCCCAAAACATCCCCAAAAACATCCCCAAAATGTCCTCAAATTATCTTCAAAATATCTCCAAAAACGTCTCCAAAACAACCTCAAAATGTCCCCGAAATGTTCTCAAGATATCCCCAAAATATCCCCAAAATCAC